CTGCAGCCATCCAGGTCGTCCACTAAGCCGTGCGACACCTTTTGTATCGCTTGTCTCGCGGTGGAGTCGGCAAGTGAATACGTCATAGTCCGCATGTACAAGAGCACAGTCAAGGCTCGTCCTCCACATTCCACACCCTTTATTCTTCTACAGGAGTCTGTTTAGTTCTTTTTTATTTATTTTTCTCATCGTGTAAGCGAGAAACAGGCCACAGCAGTGAAGGAGGGTCTCGGTTGCGAGTCGACTGCTATGTCGAAACACCGAATCGCCGCTGATACGGTTGAGTGCGTTGGTCGATTGCGTTTAATGTCCGTGAGCAATGGAGGGGTTCAAGCTCCCGAACCACAATAATCACCTAGAGTTCTTCAAAGAACACCAAGAGCGTGGTATGCGGATGTGTTAGCAGTCCACTACCACGTGAAAGCAACCACATAACTGCTGGTCAACACACCCGTGACCTATGTTGAGTAGTGAAACGCTGTACCAAGTGATCCGCGGAAACAGGCATTTTGCTGTGCTCTACTGGCATACTCGAACGGATCATTATTATATCTGAAGCAGCTATTTGACTAGCCTGTCTTACGTTGTCCCTCCGTGCGTCCGTACGAACGCGCCGCAACGCGCTTCTCTCACCGCATGTGTTGGAGCGGTACCAAATAGGTCACGCCGCAGGTGCGCCTTGATGTCACGCTCCCCTCACAGTGCCCACTGACGTCACTCTCTTCCTCGTGTGCCGTGCCCTCGCCGCAGTGCTCACAGCTGCCGCCTCATCCGTTCTTCCGCAACACCTGCCGCTACCGCGATCGCCACTCGCTACACCACCAATTTGTTGGTTCACGCGCAATAAACCTGACGTGCGCGTAACATGCGTGTTGAAACATGTCTGTGCATGTCACCTCTCTCTCGGTTCACCCGCTCCACCACTCGCAACGCTCGAGTGCACAGTTTCCGTGCTCGAGCTCGAGCACAGAAACTACCCACCATGATAAGGGGAACATGCATCGATCTCGTCTTTGCCAAATTCGACGTCGAATGTCTGCAAAAATCTCTCATCGTGCACTTCACTGATCACAAGGCTGTGGTAGTCAAGGCGAAACGCGCGCCAGCTACAGTCCAGCGCCCTTGTCCACTCTGAAGAAACGACAAGACCTACGTCAGCCATCGTTTCAAACGAATATTCCAGCTCTCACCGAAACACCCACGTTAGCGCCGTTCAACCCGTGACGCCACTTGTGCACAATGATGCCACTTTGCATCCCATCAGCATTCCCTTTGAGAAGGTGGTGTGATTTTTTGTTATCATTGTGTAGTCTAATAACACAGAAGAGATATTCCGTAAGAGGTGATGTTGATTGATTGATATGTGGGGTTTAACGTCCCAAAACCACTATATGATTATGAGAGACGCCGTAGTGGAGGGCTCCGGAAATTTCGACCACCTGGGGTTCTTTAACGTGCACCCAAATCTGAGCACACGAGCCTACAACATCTCCGCCTCCATCGGAAATGCAGCCGCCGCAGCCGGGATTTGAACCCGCGACCTGCGGGTCAGCAGCCGAGTACCTTAGCCACTAGACCACCACGGCGGGGCCGTAAGAGGTGATATAAAAAAAAACAAGTAATTTCATTGTTTTTTTTTTTCATGTGAAATAATAATAACAAACGGCACGATAACTTGTTGAATATAAATAAGAAGCATGCCATAGTAACAATTGTAGCTCATATCAAATTTGCAGTGATTCAGCAAGGTTCCAAACATAGGAATAGATACGCTATCATACACTATTAAAGCAGAGATAAGAGAAAACCGTGGAGCGAGAATCAAGGTACCGATAACTTGATAGAACGCGCTGTAGTTCCATGATAAGAGGCACTATAGAAACAATGAACCAAAGATGGACTTAGCGTTTTTAAAAAACTGAGATAAAAAAAGAGAAACCAAGTAGCTGAAGGCTGAATCACAGCCGACCTGGTGAGCATCTATATGTCCTATCTTGGCTTTTGCCCTTTCGCCATTCCCTTTCCCACCACTTTCTATACTATACTCTACATGATTGTGCTCTCTCTTTTTATTCTTTTCTTTTTGTCCTAATTCACTTTTTCTCTCTTTTTCTGCATTTTTCTTTCTATGTCACTCTCTCTTTAGTTCTGTCACTTTCTATTCAATTTTCTCCTTCATCCCTTTTTTTTTTCAAATTCTCTCTTTCTCTCTCTCTTTGTACATATTCTCCCTCCTTTCTGTCTTTCCTCGTTACCCTCAGTTTTCCTTCCCACCGCTTTATATATATCAACACAGCTATGCTCATATCAGTATAGTGCATAAATGATATTAAAGTATGGGCCTTTGCGATGGGTAAGCATATGAGTTCCGTGAGTTTACACATCGCACAAGAAGGCATACACAATTGTGCGCTTCGCAGTTAGATGTTGTAGCCACTGATCAACAGTGTGAGAAAGATTTCTCATGCTGGTAGATCCAAAATGCATCTTATTTTTTTAATTCAATGTGGCCCTATGACTGATTACGCCACAGAAGCGCATATATAAGTGTTATAGAGAATACTGGAAAGAAAACGCGGCTGATCCCTCTTTTTAGGAATCGGTGTAACACGAAAGTGAAACGCGTCTTCAGGGAAGTAGTTGAGCGTTTATTGTGCGTTCGCCACAAGGGCGAAGGAATGAATGACACAGCAGCAAATTGTGATATTGCAATGTCACACGAAGAACGGCAAGCTGCTTGAAACTTGCAGCGCGTACCTCAAGCAGAAAGAAGGCATGCAATGAGCATACACAAGACGAGTGCGGACTAACAGCTGTCACAGCTCGACACTCAAAGCACGCTGTACAACCAAACTGAAAGACGCACCAAACGAAACCAGAAGTATAGACAGGATAAACCGAACAACTGCCACAATTCTTCCTTTACGGTATGTGAGCAGTGCGCTCCTTTCGTAAACGCGGCCGCGGCAGAAAGCGAAGTGACCTTCGTGCTGTCTCGATAAGCGCGCTCAGGAGAGACCACGCTCTGTGGAGGCGGCGCTCGCCGAAACGCGATAGGCACCGCGCCCAACGCTACCCAACGCATGCTCATCGCGCCATCTCGCTATGAATGACAAAAGCGCGTGGAAGTTTTGGAGCTCTGAGGATTGCCAAATGGTATATGGTGTATATAAATAGCTTGCCGTTAGCTCTTTTGATAGCGTATGCTGCGGGGTCTAGCGCGCTGAGGATTGAGAGGTCGCTGGTTGGATGCATTGCGAGAAAACTTTTCTTGCTGTCTTTTTCCCTTTGCAATCCATTAATATATATTTTACAACGTCATATCTGTGACAGAAATACGTCAGCGGAGCCGTGATGAACGCCAGCGTAAAATACTTTCACGTTAAAAATATATAAACAGAAATAAATGCAGCAATGTGTTTTTTTTATATCTGCGCACAGACTCTGCGCACAACGCTCAATAGTGCGAGCATGGCTTTATGCTTAAGAGGTGTTTATTAATCAGTGATGAGCGCGAGGCTACGTGCCTATGAGCTGCGAAACCCTCGCCTTTGGAGCTCATGCATAATTTGTATTTAACACAAATCGTAAGCATACATGAGGCTACAGTATCTAAATTGCGCAGTCCATCTCTATAAGTCTATAGAACGTGCATCAAGTTACGTAGGCCAGGCCACGCGTGAGTGGAGACGACGCGGAAAGTGCTGTTTATCCCGCTCACCGCTTGTTCGGCGTGCGACGAAATCGACCAGGCTTCCCGAAACACGGACAGTTGTTTTCGTGGCGCCAAGGTAAGGAAAAGAGAGCAGCGATTACTGTTGACGACTGGTGTCCGATAACGTAATGACGTCTCTGCGTGAGCACGGCCGTGCCGTGCGTGCTGAGAACGTTCTTAAGTTTCGACAGAGTAAGTCCTCCATTTTGTGGTCTCTGCAGCGACCGTTCATGTCACGTTTCGCTATATATGAATGGGTAACGTGAACCCACAAAGACAACAACGATGCATGATGGTAAGGATGACGACGTACCTTCTTAAAGCATTGTTGTTAAGTTATGTTGCCTGAGAATAAGCTGATTTGGTGGCCAAATTGCGTTGATATTTTGAATAAGCTCTCATAATCAATGACAAAGAATTTTTTGAAGTTTTACACATACTACAGCTCCGATAAGACTATAAGGCATACCATAGACGCTAGAATTTATGTAATAGGGCTTTAAACTGAAGCGCAGTCGATATCATGTGGCTCAGTAAAACTTAAATGACATCTTGTTGGGGAGTTAAGATATGGTTCAATCTCGATAGTTTCCATTATGAGCGAGATTGAGTAAGCTCTTTTTTGTTTTGTCTTTCCTTCTGGTTGACAATACTTTATACATTTGGGTCGTACGACATTAACTTGCTGCTTGCGGCACAGAAGACCACACAGCTTCGCTTCGTGGGCCCCATTCGGGCACATTTACGGCGTCGACCTTGGCCGGCGCTTAGCGACAGTCTTGAGTCGATGTAGAATATCTCAGACAGCCTGAGTGGCCACGAATTTGTGTACTCGCGCGCGCTTTACGTCCACGCTCATACGTGTATGCATACGTGCCCCACACAACGCGCAAAAGTGCGACTTACATGTCGGACAACTCACACGCGGAGCAAGTTATTGATGTCGTTATCAGGACTGACCTTTCCTTTGGGTGGTTAGAGTGCGGCGGATGTACGAGATAAAGTTTGCCGAGTTAACGAAATGTCATATGCGATAAAGATGATAAGCAACGACAGCATAATGAGCAATTGAGGGCTCGATAGGTGGGGCAGCACTGAAGGGGGGGTGGGGGGTTGAGTGATGCGAATGTGACAAATGACCGTGCACACTTGTACATTAACAAGCAAGAGGTTGACAGAAGTAAGGGAGGGAGAAAACGGATGAGTCACCTCGCACTACGTCGATCTGCACGCCACCCGTGAAATACAGGATGCCCGAGATACGCCAGAGCGCGTATAATACACCCCGTGGTCGGCGTCGCATTCACGCTCGACAGTCGTCGCGGCGGCCGTCAAGTAGTTGGCACATCGCTTTCGGACCGCCAGCGGGTCGGCCGCCTCTTGTTCCGGTCACACGGCACGGGCGAATGTGACAGCCTCTTCAAAATGGTGAGCGCCGGCGAAAGCGAACTCGCGCTGACGGAAACTGACTGACGCTGTGCACGCGACAAGCCGTCGCTGACCGTGTCTTTTCGTATATGTTAGACTCGTGGAGAACAGAAGGAGGCACGGAGGGAAAGGCGGCAAGTGTTAGGGCTGCGAGGGAGAAGACCCTGCGAAAAAGTAACAATGTCGATCGGGAAAGGGAAAGAGAGGGAAAGTAAAAGTATAGGGGAGCAGAAAGCAGAGAACATAGTAAAATTCAGAAGCGACGTTAAGGAAGTTGACTATTTGTTGACTGCGCACAGGGAGCAGCCTGCTCGTGTTGCCGCGATTTTTTTTTTACGCATCATTTTGACTGCGGCGGTTGTGTCCAAAAGTCAGTGAGATTGAGTGTAACTGGGGGTCACGCTGAGATGTCGCCACACAGTGCACGGTGAGAGAAGTGGAAAAGCAGTGACGTCCGCGTGCATGTCATCGCCATTTCACTATATACGACATTGCTCTATAGAATATTTTCCGTAACACGTCTGGGCGCCTCCATCTTAGGTCGTTAAGCCGAAGTTTCCTTTTTTTTTTTTGGTACATGGCGACGTGAATTATAAGGCCATGAAACATAGAGACTGTTCGCTTAGTTGTTAAACATACAAAAACACAAAGGTTAACATCCTAATACGGGCCCCGCCATGGTGGTTTAATGGCTAAGGTAATTGGCTGCTGACCCGCAGGTCGCGGGTTTGAATCCCGGCTGCGGCGGCTGCACTTCCGATGGAGGCGAAAATGGTGTAGGCCCGTGTGCTCAGATTTGGGTGCACGTTAAAGAACCCCAGGTGGTCGAAATTTCCGGAGCCCTCCTCTACGGCGTTTCTCATAATCATAGGGTCGTTTTGGGACGTTAAACCCCACATATCAATCAATCAAACATCCTAATACGGCGGCACCGAAACCCATCCGTAAAATAGTCTATACCTGATGGTCAAAGAGGAAAAAAAAATGTTTGAAGCTAGTTAAAACCCTGCCGTGTCGCAGCCCTTTGTACGCATTTATTCGGGTTCGTATAAGCATGATTTTTCGCACCAATATAGGCACTCTGCTAACGAGCAGATCTGGCAGCAATCATATTACGCGGATCATGGGTATACTTGTGTGAAATGGTGCACCATAAACGTGAAGGTCAGCCTGCACTTCACTGGCCACGGCCGGCTCACCTTTAAATGAGCGTGACAGCGTGCGTATGCACACCGCCACTGGTGCGGGAGGGGACATTTGTGCCATCTCGAATTCCTCGAGCCTTACCTTGCAAAGGGATCGACAAGAGAGTATAACGTCTGCGTTGGTCTAAGCATACTTAGTCTCTGAAGCTGAATAACGAAACATATCATGTTATGTCATTTTTAACCAAATCTTTTTTCCTTCCAGAAGATGATTGACGAAGCCTTCCACGCAACAAAATATTTAGTCGTTTGCCTCTAGCCACCTTTTTGTATGTTAAATAATAATAATAATAATAATAATAATAATAATAATAATAATAATAATAATAATAATAATAAGACCAAACATTGTTGTTGTTGTTGTTGTTGTTGTTGTTGTTGTTGTTGTTGTTGTTGTTGTTGTTGTTGTTGTTGTTGTTGTTGTTCCGAAGCCCCGATGTGATTATGAGAGACGCCGTAATGGAGGGCTCCGGTAGTTTAGAATACTTGGTGAGCTTTAAGGTGCAGCTAAATCAAGCTTATGGTATGTTCGCCACGAAGACTCGTCAGCGAATAGTGCGCGCTAACTAGTTCTGATGTAAGCGATTGTTTCGAAAAGATACAACTGAATTTGCAACGCTGGTTGCGTCCATTGTGCTTACAGTCTTTTACTGTCTAAATTATTCAAGCGCTCAAGTTCTAACCAACAGTAGACCGCTCAGAATACTGCTAGCTGTACTGTAAATGATATGATCAAAAAGCCCGCCCTGCCTGGTTACTACAACCCGTTCACGATGCGTTCAGCGTGCGCATCCCGCGAACAATGCGTTGCCGATAAAAGGAGCGATTCAAATTTAAGCTGCAATGGCACTTTATGAGCCGTGTCGACCTTGCTCGTGCCATGATGTCTGTAGGAAAACAATGAACAGCGCTCTATCATGACACACACACGGCGGAAGGGGCTTACCAATGAGAGCGCCGCCGCGCACAAAGGCAACGCAAGCGGTGCAAGGTCATTTTCATGGCTGCGGCAGCTCTGCGCACTTCATGCGTAAAAGATATGGACGGTTCGCTGGTGGCGTTGTTCAAGGGGGCTTCGCATCCATATTTTGACCATGTAATTCGCGATGACACCCACAGCTCTGCCGTTGTTTCGAAATAATAGCCGCACAGTTTTGACGTGTTTAGGCAGTGTATAAACTCAACGAGGACCGAGGGGTGGGCACAACACAGGCACGGAGTTCAACTGCCGGTCTCAGTTAAAGTGACCGCCTGTAATGTGTCATATTCTCTGTCCTCGTTCAATTTCCGCAGCGCAGACATGTCAATAATGAATCAACTAGCCAAAGCTACCATTATATAAAAGACAGTCTTATTTGATCATGTATCAGAAATGTCGCGAACTTTTTTGTTCCTTATGACAATGTTAGGTTGTTAAATGAATATACAATGGTTGTTTAGGTTATTGAAACTTGTGTTTTTTTTTAATTTTTATTTATTGTGCAACGTGGGTTTCTTCATTTTTTAAGTATCAGCGTTTTTCAAATATAAGAGTGCACTTCATAAGTATATTACTTTGAGCGATAATGGAAAAGTTATTACAAGACATAAATTCTACTAATTGAAACCTGCAAGCTATAATTGAGAGCAAGATTTCGTTTAGAAAAAGCGCCACTGAATGATTTTTTCACAAAGAGATTGGATATACGTATTCCGGCCGCTGAATGAAAATGCACCACCGTCGTTTACATATAAAACGACACGCACACAAGGAGGACAGGGAAAAAAGCAGTAAATATGACCAGCCTATATACGCTCCCCCCCCCCCCCCCCCCCCCCCACCCTACCATCGGTCATCATAATCCAGACACGGGCACAATCATCCATGGGAGCACATTTAAGGTTCAAAAGGGGGCCCGAGCCTTTTGACCGAGTCTGCTCGCGTCTTCTCTGCGTTCAGCTCCTCCGGCGGGCAAATTGGCCTCTCTTTAGAATCCCGGTCGAAGAAGCGCGCGCGCATGCGGTGAACAAACTGGCGGTGCTTGCGGGTACGTGTTCACCTTTTTCACGTATTTTACTTCGCGCGTTCTTCGCCGTTCGCGCTGAAAATTTTAACGAGGCGTGTCGCTTATTGCACCCCTTTGTCGACCCCCCTCCCGGTGCAGGTGCGCGGCGTGCCCGCTCAGGCCCCGACGACGCAGTACGCCCGTCGTCTCCCCGTGCCGACTGCGTCACCCAAGGGGCCCAGCGACAGCTGTCGCGTCGTCGGCGTGTCTCCTCGAGTGCAGCTTGGCGCGGCGGAGAGCCGGGCTTCGGGCATGGCTGCCGCTGCGGTTCTGGCGCCTACGGTGCGCGGCCGGGACCCTCAGCTGCCGCAAGGGTCCAGGACTCCAGAGGCCAGCAGGCGCGTGCAGCGAGCCCTGCTTAAGCTCGAACTTCCCGACTGGTTTTGCCAGCACTACAGGCCTCCCAGGAGGGATCATCCCTGGCTCGGAGACGATGGCGCCGCTCCGCAGTGGCCCAAGTGGCGCGCGCTTCCGGGCAAGGACGCCAAGCAGCCGACAAGTCTACGGCCTGTCCAGGTTCGTTCCTGTTGGTTGAGTGCGCGTTTGACCGTGTCATGTGTGCAGTGCGATCAATCATGACATCCACTTGCGGATCGGTGCGAGTTCACGCCTTTACTCGTAGCGACTACTTGTTTTCTGTTTTCGGTGAGAGAGAGAAGGACGGGGATGGCAGCGAAGAGAGAGAGAGAAAGGCAGCAGAAGTCGGTCTCACGCACTGCCGCTTCGTCTACAACTTCTGGACCTTCATATTTACCACTTACTAGATAAACATAGCATTATTACCATGCATTCATCCAGTGCTTAAAGTCAGGGGGTCTTGGAGAAAGGTCTTAGAACTCCACCAATATTCGCCCCCACTACCAATACTTATTAGAATGTAGAGTGGTATGTTCACGAAATGTATATGTGGCAAATGCGAAATGTAAAGGCAGTGAGAGGTGCCACGGGCTGATGTTATACGAAAACGTCCACGCAAGTAACGACGCACTGAGTTCCCCTTTTCTCAGTGTCGAAGGCTTGCTGCTCGATGTTTCTCGCGCTACTAATATCAAAGCTGAGATTGATTGCGAGGGCGTCAACTTTTGGAGCCCTAGCGGGTGTGTACTTGCGCCTGAATCATCGTGCGCAAGTCTTTGTCACAGCAGACCATCGAGACCAACTCTCTTAGAATTTTGCTCTAAGAGCGTTGGTCGAGAAACGCTTTCTTTCTCTTTAATATCGCTATTACTGTAAACTAGTGGTTTCGTGAATAATATTACATGCGTCAGTAGTATCGCCTCGTCTTTTCACGTTGAGCTACACATCATTTACCACAGAGCACTTTGGCAGAAAAATTCCTTGCTTCAGATTTGTGCGTCATAAACTGATTAAACAAACGGTAAGCACTTCTCAGTTCTTTTTCGCTGTTTGTAAAAACGATGTACGCGTACAACAAGCTGTCAACGACTTCTTCTATCTCTTTTTTTTATTTACGTCTTCATCTTAACTCGAAACACATACCCCCTCAGACCGAGTCAGGCATTAAGCGCCAGTTATATAAAACTCGGATGGACGCACTGGACTGAAGGGACATGACGTTGATTCTATATCTTGTGTCGTATACAATGGTGTTCTTGCAGCTGTGAAGTTCATACCTTTACAGCGCAATTACCTGCGTAACGAAGGACTTCTTTGTCCCGGCTGAAGCGCTATAACCATTGTTGTGAATGCCTCTATAGCGATCGGCTGAGGCAATAAATCATTTGCAAGGTGATAGACACGCTCAAGCTTCCACCTAGGGCATATGCTTTGATTCGGAAAATTTATGACCAATCATCACTGCTCTCTAAAAAGAGACAGCGAGCTCTTACTTAATTGAATACAAACTATTAACCTCATACGATACCGAAGCACATCTGAGGAACCTGTATCCTTAAGTAAAGGTAATGCTTTTGAATATCTTCCCCCTTGAGGTGTTCACGGTTGACGGTAACGAATATGCTAACTTGTAATACTTTATATTGTTCTTTTCGTTGGCATTTACGTTAGTAAAGTGGGTTTCTTTATTATTTTTTTCTGTATGGTAGCAATTACAGAAACTGCAACGCAGCACGTCCAAAATATGCAAGCGATCGCTATGGGTTTGAATCTATAAATTCAAAGTATACAGGTTCAAGACAAAACTTCGCGTGATCGCAGTACTCCCTAAAACAGCATCGCCTATTGAAAACTGATTAAAAATACATGTCGATTATCTTGAATACCCAACAACTACGATACACACATAAATACTCCTCTTTGTTGGGCAGCCGCACTTTATTTGGCAACGCTTAAATGCGTGAATTGTACAAAACTGTTTCCGCACTTTTCAAAAGATGCGTATTGCTGAAGCTATTCATGGAAACTTGTTCAAACGAAGTTCTTTTCATGAAGCTTTTACGTGTCTGTGGCGAAGGCTGCTTATGTCACACGAACAGAGGCATATATTCACAACAACGACCTACGCTATAGTTATTCGTATCATATATTCAGCACTATGTTGGGCACACAATTATCAAAGCCAGCCGACCAATGGCAAAGAGCTCTTACGAACGAAAATCTTTGTGATATCGCCCTATAGCGTTCGTAGCAGCCTAGAGTCACAGTATTTTGCTAATTTTATTTCTACATGACAATTTATAGCTGGCCTCCAGGTTTCGGTTCGCATATCTAGTCATTCATTTAGGCTGCCGACCCCACTAGGTTGCCATCGGCTCATTTCAGCCTTTTTTTATATCGTAGTAAATTCTTAGTTCGTTACCACTGGTACAAATCTAGCGCAGCGAAAAATTCATTCACCAGCACACCGGGCCTTATAAGAGCAGCATTTGGCGCATGCTGCTCATGTTTTCTTCTGCCTAATCAAGTAATAAATCAAGGCACTATAATTTGCTGTGACGTAAGTCTGTCTACGTCACACTTACGTTTTATGTGCTCGTCAGTGTCATGGGTATTTTAAAAGAATTTGCTGCCCAGCAACAGTAGCAATAGTAACCAACTGTAGTTATGTCCTAATGCTAACTGCTGAGTGCAAACTTGGAACGGGTCATAGATGAGTACACACAGCGCAGGACAAGCGCTACTCCGGTGTTGTGTATGTTTTTCTATGTCTCTTACCGAACTCGCACTCAGCAGTTTGGTGCGAAGTGTTTTTCTTTTTTCTCATTGGCGTGTGTAACGTATTGGAAACAACGCGGGGCGAGTACACCTCCGACCACCCCTTTTCTCTCCCTCTCTCAAAGAAGTGGTTTAAAGAAACAACTATAAAGCTTCCTCTTTCCCCTATGCCCTTACCCACTTATACTACGCCCTCGCCCTCCCATTAGAAACAGGTGCATGGCGAACATAAGAGATGACCACCTACCTTAAACCATGTATACCTACCGTTGATGATTGATATGTGGGGTTTAACGTCCCAAAACCACCATATTAACTTGAGAGACGCCGTAATCGAGGGCTCCGGAAATTTCGACCACCTGGGGTTCTTTACCGTGAACCCAAATCTGAGCACGCGGGCCTACCACATTTCCGCCTCCATCTGAAATGCAGCCACCGCAGCTGGGATTCGATCCCGCGACCTGCGGGTCAGCAGCCGAGTACCTTAGCCACTAGACTACGGCGGCGAGGCTGTCTACCTACCGTAAACCGAATGCAGCGGTTACGTTTGAAAAAAAAAGCATTCTTTCAGGATATCACTTTAACATACGTGGTCGCAGTATTCGGTGTTGAAAAGGCTCAGCATGTTCGACTCAGCAACTTTTTTTTTTCTATTTCCTGTGTGGTTAACTCCCAAATGAAGCCACACTGCTTTAGCGAAGAGCCTTATCTTATATATAGCTTCAAAAGTCAGGCGTAAAATGCCTGATTCATGATATACAGGCAGAAAAAACAACAAAAACACTGTCTTCTCTTTTTCATCATCTATCAATTGTGTGCATTTTTTACGCCTCTTTTTACAGTAACGAAACTTGAAGCGATGTTCAAAATTCTCATTATAATATAACCGTTACAGAAAACGTATCTCGATTCATCACTATTCTGCACTAGATGTGAAGCGCCGGATGTATCAGCGCTTCAAACTAGAGTTTGCTTGCATCCAAATGCACGCAATAAACATTTATTTATTTAGATAATTTTGAGAGAGAGAAAGAGAGAGCGAATCATATCACTCAATAATTTAGCTCCTAACACAATGTAATTCCCAAAACCTCTTCGCTGCTTACGTGCAAGCCCGCTTCAGGAAGAAAAGTAATAATAAGATATAATTAGCTGTGCCACTGCATTGCTGTCTGCATTGCAAAAGCGACTTTCTTGAGAAGCTGGCGTGACAGAACATGCACCAAAACACCAGTTGTTGCTTGTCGGTACCAAAAGTACGAACCGAAGCCTAAACAGCAAAGCCGCAGTTCCTCTTTATAGTAGCTAGCACAATGTTGAGCGTACAATATTGAATAATACGTGGGGTTTAACGTCCTAAAACCACCATATGATTATGCGGAACGCCGTAGTGGAGGGCTCCGGAAATTTCGACCACCTGGGGTTCTTCAACGTGCACCCAAATCTGAGCACATGGGGCTACAACATTTCCGCCTCCATCGGAAATGCAGCCGCCGCAGCCGGGATTTGATCCCGCGACCTGCGGGTCAGCAGCTGAGTACCTTAGCCACTAGACCTCCGTGGCGCGGCTTGAGCGTCTATTATATTAGCGCAAGAAATATATTAGAAAAAAACTGTATTCGTTGTTTGTATGTGTGTGTGCGTATGCGTGTGTGCGTGTGTATGTGTGTATGTGTGCGTGCGTATATGTGTGTGTGTGCGTGTGTGTGCGTGTGCGTGTGCGCGTATGTGTGTGTGCGTGCGCGTGTGTGTGTATGTGTGCGTGTTTGTGTGTGTGCGTGTGTGTATGTGAGTGTGCATGTGTGTATATGTGTGTATGTGTGTGTGCGTGTGTGTGTGTATGTGTGAGTATGTGTGTGTGCGTGCGTGTGTGTATGTGTGTGTATGTGTCTGTGTGCGTGTGTGTGTGCGTATGTGTGTGTATGCGTGTGCGTGTGTGCGTATGTGTGTATGTATGTGTGTGTATGTCTGTGTGTGCGTATGTGTGTGTGTGCGTATGTGTGTGTGTGCGTATGTGTGTATGTGTGTGTGCGTGTATGTGTGTGTATGTGTTGTTGCGAAAGACGGCGACGCCAACACGGCCCCGAAGGCGCCACTGCTTTCAACTCCGCCGGGAAGGTCACCAGCCGTTTGGTAGCGTATGTTTCTCAGCCCGCGACTGCTTCTGCGCAGAGCTGATAAGACGAGCGGACGAGACGACGGTGAGTTAAACAAGGTTTATGTACAGCATATATACAGAGGCATTACAATTTCGGCACTGGGGCCGACAGAGACTCGAAGAGTCGAGCTCTCCTCTCTAATACATAGGTCAACTTTTCGCCTAAGACCGCCGACTCACACACATGTCGGCTCTCCGACATGGGGACTCCTCTCTCGTAGGA